AATTGGCATTCCCACAAGCAGTGGAGGAGTGTTCTCCTTTCTCCACATCCTCTCCAGCATAAACTGTCATTAGTGTTTTTGATTTTAGCCATTCTGACTGGGGTGAGATGGTATCTCAGTGTTGTTTTGACTTGTATTTCCCTAATGGCTAAAGATGTTGAGCACTTTGTCAAGTGTCTCTTGGCCATTTTGGACTCCTCTATTGAGAATTCTCTATTTAGTTCTGTACCCCATTTTCCTTTCATGTTCTGGAGTCTTGTTTCTTGAGTTCTTTGTAAATTTTGGAGATCAGCCCACTGTCAGATGTGGGATTTGTGAATATCTTTTCCTGTTGGGTCCTAGACCCCACAGGGTCTCTGAGTTGTTTGTCAGCTGATGGCCACAGGTGCATCTTGTTTTCTAGTCCTGGCTTACTGCCCCAGCATTGCCCCACTGACATCAACATCTAGCAGGAGGAAAACATGCTTTCTTCCACCAGGGGTTTTTCTAGTGTGTTGTAAGACTATATATAAGATTGCTCCCTCCTACAAGAGAGAGACCTCTTAGCACCTGCAAAATAAAGACACTTCTTAGTACAAACAGCTGGACATGTGGTCTTTCTTTTCCTGATACCCCGGAGTAGCTTGTGACACAGGCGCCACATTTTCCCATTCTGTGGACTGTCATTTTGTCTAGTTGACTGTGTCGTTTTCCCTGCAGAAGCTCCTCAGTTTCAGGAGGTCCCATTTGTTATTTGTCAATCTCAGTGTCTGTGCTACTGGTGTTATATTCAGAAAGCAGTCTCCTGTACCAATTCATTCAAGGGTACTTCCAACTTTCTCCTCTAAGAGATTCAGTGTGGCTGGATTGTTGTTAAGGTCTTTGAACCACTTGGACTTAAGTTTTGTGCATGGTGATAGATATGGATCTATCTGTTGTCTTTTACATGCCAGCATCCAGTTACTCCAGCACCATATATTGAAGATGCTTTCTTTTTTCCATTGTATAGTTTTAGCTTCTTTGTCAATGATCAGGTATTCAAAGTTGTGTGGGTTGATACCAGGGTCTTTGATTTGATTCCATTGGTCTACCTGTCTGCTTTTGTGCCAATACCAAACTGTTTTCAGGAATATAGCTCTATTTTAGAATTTGAAGTCACGGATGGTGATACCTCTGGAGGTTCCTTTATTATACAGGGTTGCCTTGGCTATCCTGGGTCTTTGTTTTTCCATATAAAGTTAAGGATTGTCCTTTTGAGGTTGGTGAAAAATTATGCTGGTATTTTGATAGGGATTGCATTGAATCTGTAGATTGCTTTTGGTAAAATTTCCATTTTTACTATGTTGATCCTACCTATCCAAGAGCATGGGAGATCTTTCCATTTTCTGATATCTTCTTTAATTTCTTTTTTTAGTGACTCAAATTTCTTGTTATACAGGTCTTTCACTTGTTTGATTAGAGTTATCTCAAGATATTTTATGGTGTTTTTGGCTATTGTAAAGGGTGATGTTTCTCTGATTTCTTTCTCATCACCTTTATTGTCTATATAAAGTAGGGCTACTGATTTTTTTAGTATATTTTGTATCCTCCCACTTTGCTGAACGTGTTTATCAGCTTTAGGAGTTTCCTAGTAGATTGCTTTGGGTCGCTTATGAAGACTATCATATTGTCTGCAAATAGTGAAAGTTTGACTTCTTCCTTTCCAATTCAAATCCCCTTGATCTCCTTTTGTTGTCTTATTGCTCTAGCTAGAACTTCAAGAACAATATTGAAGACATATGGAGGGTGTGGACATCCTTGTCTTGTTCCTGATTTTAGAGGAATTGCCTTTAGTTTCTCTCTATTTAGCTTGATACTGGCTGTTGGTTTGCTGTGTATAGCTTTTATTATGTTTATGCATGTTCCTGTTATTCCTGATCTCTCCAAAACCTTTATCATGAAGGGGTGTTGGATTTTTTCAGCATCTAGTGAGATGATCATGTGGTTTTTCTTTTTCATATTGTTTATATGGTAGATTACATTGATGGATTTTTCATATGTTGAACCATCCCTGAATCCCTGGGATGAAGCCTACTTGATCATGGTGTATGATTTTTCTGATGTGTTCTTGGATTCGATTTGCCACTATTTCATTGAGTATTTTTTGCATCAATGTTCTTGAGGGAGACTGCTCTGTAATTCCCTATCTTGGTTGTGTCTTTGGGTGGTTTGGTTATAGTAATTGTAGTTTCATAAAAAGAAATTGGCAGTGATCCTTCTGCTTCTATTGTGTGGAACAATTTGAAGAGTATTGATATTAGGTCTTCCTTGAATTTTTGGTAGAATTCCTCCCTGAAACCATGTGGCGCTGGACTTTTCTTATTTGGAAGACTTTTTATGGCTCCTTCTATTTCTTTAGGTGATATAGATCTGTCTAAATTGCTTATCTCTTCTTGATTTAATTTTGGTAAGTGATATCTATCCAGAAAATCATCCATTTCCTTTAGATTTTTCCAATTTACTGGAGTACAAAATTTCAAAGTATGATTCTTTGGATTTCCCCAGTGTCTGTTGTTTTGTCTCCTTTTTCATTTCTGATTTTGTTAATTAGCATGTTCTGTCTCTGTCTTTTAGTTAGGTTTGATAAAGGTTTATCTATCTTGTTGATTTTCTCCAAGAACTCTTTGTTTCATTGATTATTTATATTGTCTTCTTTGTTTCTACATTATTGATTTCAGCTCTCAATTTGATTATTTCCTGGCATGTACTCCTTCTACGTGAGTTTACTTCTCTTTATTCTAGAGCTTTCAGGTGTTCTGTTAATTCTCTAGTGTGGCAATTCTCCAGTTTCTTCATGTGGGCACTTAGTGTTATGAATTTTCCTCTTAGAACTGCTTTCAAAGTATCCCAAAGGTTTGGGTATTTGTGCCTTCATTTTCAATGAATTCTAGAAAGTCTTCTCTCTCTCTCTCTCTCTCTCTCTCTCTCTCTCTCTCTCTCTCTCTCTCTCTCTCTCTTTTCTTCTTTTCCCCAGGGGTGATGCAATTGAGCATTGTTCAATTTCCATGAGTTTGTGAGGGTTCTGCAATTTGTGTTGATGTTGAATTCTAATTTTAAGTCATGGTGGTCTAACATGATACAGAGAGTTATTCCATTTTTTGTATCTGCTGAGGTTTGCTTTACTGCCAAGTATGTGTTTGATTTTAGAGAAGGTTCCATGTGGTGCTGAAAAGAAGGTATATTCTTTTTTGTTTGGGTGGAATGTTCTATAGATGTTTGTTAAACCCAATTGGATGATAACTTCTGTTAGTTCCATTGTTTCTTTGTTAAGTTTCTTTCTGGTGGACCTGTCCAGTGGTGTGAGTGGGGTGTTGAAGTCTCCCACTATACATGTGTGGGGTTTGATATTGAAAGACCTAAAGTATTCAGGCTGAATACCTCGTGATGTCCTGAGCTCAATAACCAGACAGTTGGATGCAAACTGCAAGAGGTTTATTGTTTACACAGGCATCTGTGGGCACTCCAGCAACCTTAGCTAGCTGAGCGCGCCGGGCTTTAGGACAGTTTTCTTTTTATGTACATAATTTTGGCAAGCAAAGCAATAGGGGTATTGTAAGAAGAGGAGCCACTGCAGGTGCAGATCTGGGCAAGCAATAGGGGTATTGTTAGAACGCGGGCATAACTCATCCTTCCTGGAGAGACCACAAGGTCAGAATTAAGTTTATCTTAACAGCCTGCCGGTTTCCTGCATCAGCACGCTGGACCAGATGTTCTTTTCAATCTGACCTTGTTCCCTGTCTAGGGGACCTTGGGGAATTTTCCACTGAAGCAACCTTATGGGTCTCAAGGGGGTTGTATTGAGTTTTTTTCATTCCCCCATTTCTTTTTGTGAAGTTTTAATCCTAAAATTTATGGTCCCTCTTGTTGTTTAACAGCTTGGTACTGTTGTGTGAGAACCAGGGCTTGGGTGATAGATAGGTGTTCCTTAATGAACATCATAAGGTGATTTAAAATACAGGGGCCAAAAGTAAGGATCAGTAACAAAATAGCCAGAGGACCTAGTATGGTAGAAATCAGGGTGGTCAGCCAGGGGGACCCATTGAACCAGATCTCAAACCATCCTTGTTGAGATTCCTGATCTCTCCGGCGTTGGTTGAGTCTTTCCCTAAGTTTTGCCATGGAATCTCGTATGACCCCAGAATGGTTAACATAGAAACAATATTCTTCTTTTAGGGTGGCACAGAGTCCACCTTCCTTAAGAAAAAGGAGGTCGAGGCCTCTTTGGTTTTGCAAGGCAACCTCAGCCAGGGAAGCAACAGACAATTCTAATTTAGTATTAGACCCCTCAACTGCTTTAATATCTTCCTCAATGGCTAGTTTTAATTCTGAATATCCTTGGGACCCTTGAACCAGTGTAGCCACTTCTGTGCCTATTCCGGCTGCCATTCCTGCCCCCAATAGGAGGGCTAGGGTAAGTGATATGGGCTCCCTCTTGTACCTTAATGGGATTCCCTCATAAACTTGTTCCACAACTTCAGGAGGGTGATAATATACACGGGGAAACAAGTGGACTAGAACACAAAATTCTTTGGAGGCACTTAGGACTTGGGTGTGCACACAGGGTGTCAGCCCAGTATTACATGCCCACCAGAGCCCCGATTCTGGGACCAGGTAATTTAGACTTTCTGGCTGCTGGACGATTCAGTTACAGAGGCCCTACTAGGAGGGCGGAGGTGTTCCTAGGCATAGACCCTGGTCAGAAACTTGAATGAGTGCTAACCTATGGTCCTCCTCCCAGCCGCAGTTAGGGCTGGTGGTGATGTTAGTAAAGTTTCCCATCAGGACAATCCCTTCATAATAGGGGGGCGTAGACGCTAGGCATAGCCAACAAGAGGTAGTAAGGGTTAGCTGGGTGTTGTTGAGGGCCAAAAAAGTCCCTTGTACCAAGCTGAAGAGTCTCTGTCCCGTTGAAGGAGGCTGGGGGAAGTTGGGGTTTTGGGGCTTTAGGTGGCCCTTGTTCTGACAACACATCATTAGGTCCTACGGGAGCCGTTAGTGGACTGGTTATCTTGAGTCTAATTTGGAATGAAAGTCCCATATCTCGCCCTGGCACATAGAATCTTAGTCCCCAGGTTCGTCCCCCAACCCGTCCGTTGAACTGTTTTCCCGGACTTGTGAAAGTTATATTAAGGGTGTTTGAAGTCTGGTTTTTCCTGCCAACAGTAATTACGTCCCAGCTTGACGAGGGGTGCCATGGAGCCTCTCCTGTGGTCTCACAACTCCACTGTTTGCAAAAGAAGTCCCCGATACCATACTTATCTAGTGGTTCCTCTGGGGGTGCCCTATCAGGTGTCGGTTCAGGGATGTACTAGTAGCTTAATCCCTCTGCTAGGGCACAAATCGTAGGAAACAGAGGTGGCCACCATGTGCCAGGGGGAGCTTCCTTAGATGCCAACCAAACCATATCCCCTGTCTGTGACATCACCTGCCAGGTAAGTAGTTGGGGTGCATGAGGACTAGAATTAGTGTGGCCCCAGAGGCCTACGGGGAGCACACTTAAAGCAACTACAAGCAAGGTTAGGGCTCCTTTAGGAGTCTTATTTTGAGGGGATTTTGGGTGTGCTGGAGTTTCCATGCCGTGGTGGTGGGCAGGTCCTTTTGGTCTTCTTGGGGTGTGGCCATTATGTGTGATGCAATGCTATCTACTTTTAGAGCAGTCAGGGTGGTCAGCAGCACGGTGTACAGTCCTTTCCAACATGGTTCCAAAGTTTTGGGCTGGTGTTTCCTCACATAGACCTGGTCACCAATCTGGTGGGGATGGGGCCAGGAAGGTGGTCCCTTCTCCCGGTATGCCGCTGCCAAAGGCTTCCAAATCTACTCCTGGAGTATCTGTAAGGCTTGGAGGTGTGCCTACAGGATTGGGGTAGTAGCATAGGCAGAAATATCAGAATCAAAGAAGGTTACAGCAGGGGGAGGTCCTCCATAGAGGATCTCGTATGGGGTGAGGCCATGGTGGCCAGGGGTGTTCCTGGCCCGGTAGAATTTTCCACTGAGGCAACCTTCTGGGTCTCAAGGGGGGTGTATTGAGGTTTTTCAATATGTGATTTGAGTTGCAGTAATGTTTCTTTTATGAACATGGGTGCCTTTATATTTGGGGCATATATGTTCAGAATTGAGACTTCTTCCTGATGGATTTTTCCTATGATGAATATGAAGTGACCTTCTTTGTCTCTTTTGATAAATTTTGGTTTGAAGTCTATTTGTATTAAATATTAGGATAGCTATACCTGCTTGCTTCTTACATCCATTTGATTGGAAATTCTTTTCCCAACCCTTAACCTTGAGGTAGCATCTGTCTTTGAAACTGAGGTGTGTTTCTTGTATGTAGCAGAAAGGATGGATTCTGTCTTTGTATCCATTCTGTTAGCCTATGTCGTTTTATAGGTGTGTTAATACCATTGATATTCAGGGATATTAATGACCACTGATTGTGGATTCTTGTTTGCTTTAGATCTGTTTTTTGGTGGTGGATTTATGTGTGATCTTTTCTCCTATTTCTGATTTCTACTAAAGTTAGATTATCTATTGCCCTTGTTATTTTGAGTGTAGTTTGTATTTTAACTTCCTTGGGTCAGAGTTTTCCTTCTAGAACTTTCTGTAGGGTTGGATTTGTGGATACGTATTTCATAAATCTGGTTTTGCCATGGAATATCTTGTTTACTTCATGTATAGTGACTGAGATTTTTTCTGGGAATAGTAGTCTGGGATGGAATCTGTGATCTCTTAGTGTTTGTAGAACATCTATCCAGGTCCTTCTGGCTTTCATAGTTTCCATGAGAGAAGTTGGATGTAATTCTGATAGGTTTGCCTTTATATGTTACTTGGCCTTTTTGCTTTTCTGCTTTTAGTATTTGTTCTTTATTCTGTATGTTTGGTGTTTTGATCATTATGTGGCGAGGGGACTTTTTTTTTTGGTCCAGTCTATTTGGTGTTCCGTAAGCTTCTTGTAGTTTCATAGGCATCTCCTTCTTCAGGTTGGGAAAATTTTTCTATGATTTTGTTGAATATGTTTTCTGTATCATTGAGCTGGGCTGCTTTACCTTCTATACCTATTATTCTTAGATTTGGTCTTTTCACGGTGCCCCATATTTCCTGGATATTTTTGTGTAAAGGATTTGTTAGATTTAAGACTTTCTTTTGTTGATGAATCTATTTCCTCTAGTTTATCTTCAGTGCACGAGATTCTGTCTTCCATCTCTTATATTCTGTTAGTTAGGCTTGCATCTGTAGTTCCTGATTGGTTTTTCAGCCTTTCGAATTCCAGCATTACCTCAGTTTGTGTTTTTCTTATTGTCTCCATTTTGGTTTTCAGGTCTTGAACTGTTAGAATTGTTTCCCTCATCTGTTTGATTTTTTTTCTTGGGGTTCCTTGCTTTCTTTAAGTGATTTGTTGATTTCTTTCATTTTTTGGTTTTTGTTTTCTTCATTTCTTTAAGGGATTTTCTCATATCCTCTTTGAGGGCTTCTATCACTTTCAGGAGATTGTTTTGAAGGTCATTCTTTTCTGTTTCATCTGTGTTGATATGTTCAGGTCTTGCTGGTGTAAAGTTTCTAGACCCTGGTGGTGTCATACTGGTTCCTCTGTTGTTGGCTGTGTTTTTATATTGCCTTCTTCTCATCCTTTATTTCAGTGGGAACTCATGGGGTCTCTTCCTCTCCTTAAGTACCAGGAAATGACCGGAAGACACAGGTGTGGGCAGACTCAGGGTGATCCTTCCTGGAGGCACAGGTTTCGTCTAGACACAGCAAATGTCCAGGGAGATGGAGCTGGAGATGTAGTGAGTTGGGCCTCAGAGCAGGGTCCCCACTCACCTTAAGCACAAGGAAAGGACCAGAAGACACTGAAGACTGAAGTGTGGGCAGACTCAGGGTGATCCTTCTGGGCACAGAAAAAGCCCAGAGAGATGGAGCCAGGGATGTAGGGAGTTGGGGCTCAGAGGGGGCCTCTACTCACCTTAAGCACCAGGAAAGGACCAGAAGACACTCACAAGGGTACCTTCTTAAGTAATACAATTGCTGCCAAAACTCATTACCTGGGGATATTCCTGGCAGCTTTACTGTCCTTGTTTCATAAGCAGGAATGTAGAACACAACACTTCCATTGACTCCTTTACATAACTTGATATAAAATAACTAAGAAAATTTGAAATAGCAAATACTTTGGATTGGACTATGCTTGGTACCTTCTCCTGCACCTTCCCTGAATCAAGGTTTTATAATTGTTTTTTTTATAATTGTTTTTTTCTTTTCTTTTTTTTAGGAAATAAAGACAACCTTCATAGATTTGAAAAGACACTATTTTGTTATAATCAAGTAGGGGGATCTGTTGACAAGTTTTGAGCATGAAGTCTGTTCACATTTGCCAGGCTGAAGTTCTCTGTACAGTACATCATCACCTATTTTAAGCTGCACTCAGGAGGATGAGTTTTGTTTCTTAGTGCCCTTCAGTCATGTTGCTGTCCCACAGGAAAAACATAGCCCTTCACTATTGGGATTCAAAATAAATGTCTCATTTCTGTTTTCTCTGAATAATCCCTATGACTAAACCTGTGCAGAGTACACATGAGCTGCCCAAAGGATTAAAAATTATATCAGTTCCTAGCACAGTGCCTCCTGATAGGACATCAGCATTCCTGCTGCGTTCCTGTGCATAGGAGCTTATGCCGGTTCACATCTCAATCCTTAGTCTTCTTCTTTTATTTATTTAAATTAGAAACAAGCTTGTTTCACATGTCAATCCCAGCTCTCTCTCCCCCGCCCTCCCCACCAGGTTCCCCAGTACCCCACCCAATCTCCACTCCAATCCCCAGGGAGGGTGAGGCCCTCTGTGGTGGATCTCCCGGGCAGGGCCTAGGCCCTCCCCCAAGAGTTCCCACAGAGAGCTTCCCATATTGTGGCATGGGCACTCAAAATCTGTTTGTATGCCAGGGATAAATACTACCCAAGGCCCCATAGATTACCTGCTCACCGACACCCACCTTCAGGGGGTCTGGGTCAGTCCCATGCTTTCCACACATCCATCAGTCTGGGGCCCAAGAGCTCCCCCTTGTTCAGGTCAACTGTTTCTGTGGATTAAACCAGCCCAGTCTTAACTCCTTTGCCCATCAGTTCTCTCTTTCTGATACTTGATTCCAGGAGTTCAGTTGAATGTTTGTCTGTGGGTATCTGCCTCTGTTTTCATCAGTCACTGGATGAAGATTCTGTTTCCTAGACTCTCTAGCAGTAGGATTTTATGCTGGCCCTCCCCTGATCATGTCTAAAATCCATAAATGAATGAGTACATAACATGTTTCTCTTTTTGTGACTGGGTTACCTCACTCAGGATGGTTTCTTCTAGTGCCATCCATTTGCATGTAAATTTTAAGATTCCATTGTTTTCAAGAAGGATGTCTGTTCCACTGTGTTCATAGAAGCATTATTTGTAATAGTCAGAACCTGGAAGCAACCTAGATGCTCCTCAACTGAAGAGTGGATAGAGAAAATGTGGTACATTTACACAATGGAGTACTATTCAGCAGAGGTTTTATAATCTTAACACCGAGGCCCTCAGAATATGACCCTGTTAGAGATAAACTTTTAATAGACAAAAGTAGGGTAAAGTGTGGTCATCAGTATGGGCCATGATCCAGTGTGACTAGTGTCCCTATTAACATAGGGCATTTGAATACAGGGAAACATCTAGAATGAAGAAGACTTTGAGATAAATAGGAATGAGGCAGCTCTTTACCAGCCAACCCCACCCTACCCTTAAACTTGAACTTCTGATCTATAGAACTATAGGACTATGCACTCCTATTGTTTAAAAGGTTGGGTTTGTTGGGCATCATCATAGCAACTGTAACAAACCAACAAAGAAAGGTTCCAGAACATGTCCTAATCTGCCCAGTACTGCTCCAATGCAGTTTCTTTTCTTTGTTCTCCAAAACCAGCTTCATCTCTATGTCAGCTCGTGTATGTATATGCTTGTCTTTTTCCTCTTTCTGCCAGCTTCTGCCCACACTTCACTTGCTTGCCTTGAAGCAGGCTCTCCACAAATACATGTAGAATAGTTTCCACTTGCAAGAAGCACAGCCTGGAAAAAGTAGGAAATCCTCATGAAATTCATTGAACTGTAGTTGGAATGTAAAATGAAATTCAAAAGAAGAAATTTAAAAGGGGGAAAAAGAATTATATATAAGTGTTAGTTTTTTATATTCTCTAGTAACCTAGAGGTAGGTAGGTAGGTAGGTGTGTGTGTGTGTGTGTGTGTGTGTGTGTGTGTGAAAACTTACATATTTGAGGCTTGTATCCGTGTGCCATTTCCAATTCTCAGCCTGCTGGTAGGTGGATACCAAACAATGCGTTTCAAGACACACATGACACTGAATCCTGATGTGGTAATTAACTGAGGCTACCGCAACACTACAAAGTATAGTTTAAACAATAAGAATGCACGCTTTCATAGATATGGAGGCCACAATTCTAAGAGCAAGGTATCATCAATGTAAAGTCTGTAAGACAATTAGAAAAGAAAATCCATTTCATACCACTCTTTAAGCTTCAGATGGCCTGCTGACAACTCATGATAAACAAAACAAATAAACATCAGTCTGAATTTTACTTCCATCTTCAAAAATCAGCCCTTCTTGTACCAAAGCTCACCATTGTCAGAAGAAAACCATATATGTTGCATGAAGGGACATTCTACTGATGTCACTTCAGGTTATGTGTACCCCAACTCTAAGGCCAGTCACATTCTGAGTTAGTCAGTGTTAGGACTTTGTAACTAGTTTTGGAAGGATAGAATTTAATCTTAGTGTTTGGTGTCATCAGTGATTCAATCTGTCAGTGGAGAAGTCATGTGATCTTCTTTTAGGCTTATAGCCTCTTCATTGAGGGGATGGAAATTCTACAGACCTCAATGGACTGCTGTGAAAATGTTTGAGGATATATGGGAGCATACTTTGTGATGACCTAAGTAGTATTTGTGTTTGTTAGGCCAATAAGCAACATTGATTTTTAGGTCTGCAAACCAGAGCATCATGGAGGAGGACCGTAGTTGAAGAAAGATAATGACTTAATGGCATCTGGGAAATGGAGAGAAAGTCAAGGGCTGAGGAAATACATGTAGGGTACATCCATATAATGCACTTTCTCCGACAAGATGCCACCTCCTAATGGCCTATCCAGTATGAACTGAGCAATGGATGGATGCCTTAGTGAAGGCCCAGATGATCACAAACACCCCTCAATAGACATAACTACTGAGAAGAAGCATTCCACACACACTCCTTTGTGGAAAGAGGTTTCATATTTCACAAGGTGAACGGAGAGTGACTATCCAATGACACACTTGAGACACTGGTGGTTTGAATAGAAATAACCTCCCTAGGCTCATGTATTTGAATGCATCAGAAATGGCACTAGGTGACAGGGATTAGGAGGTGTGGACTAGTTGGAGTAGGTGTGGCCTTGTTGGAGGAAGTGTGTTACTGTGGGTAGGCAAATGCTCAAGTCATGTCCTGTGTCTCTGCCTGCTCCCTGTGGATCATGATGTAGAACTCTCAAGCTACTTCTCCAGCACCATTTATGCCTGCATGCCACCATTCTTCCTACCACAAGGACAATAGACTAAACCTCTGAACTGTAAGTCCGCCCCAATTAAATGTTTTCCTGTATTAGAGTTTCGATAGTCATGGTATCTCTTCATAGCTATAGCATATTGACTAAGATAGGCCCAATGATAAAAACTGATGCTAAAGCTGTTCAACAGCTTCAATATATGAAATTCTATTGAATCATTTTGTTTAACATGATGGCTATACTTCCCATTGAAAATTAGCATCTATGTGTCTCATGGGCTGTTGAACATGTACTTTGAGCTCACAAAATAGAACAATAAGATTTCAAAGCCTTTGCCATGGCCCTACATCTCTGATTCAGGTTGTCTCATCCTGCAATAAGGTCTAAAATGAAAATTACCAGCTCTAATTTCAGCCAAATGTTTGCAAGGAGAGGGTTCAATACCTGCATGAGGAGAAAGGGACATGTGAAGGAGGAAAAAGCAAGAGAGCTGATATAAAGTGGAGCCCTAGCTACAGTCACACTGCCATCACTTCCCTAGCACCCTCCATGGAGGAGTCATCATGGTGTCTATAACCTTTGTTGGCAGAGCATCAGTTTCTGCCAATAACTGTAGGACTTATTGGAGCTGAGAAGGAAACCTCAAGGCCATCGACTTTCTGTACACCTGCCTAACCTCACTAGCCAGAAAGTTCAAATGCTCAAATCATACCTGACATATACTGAGTGGCCTCAAAATTCGACAGGAAGCAGACTTGGAGGGATGGAGAGTCTGTATGAACAGTGGCTCTGCTGAGATGGGTAGGAGTTCAGAAAGACTCCTGCCCCAGGACCAGGCTGTCCTATACATCATTTCCTATGGTGTTGACTTCAGCTCCTCCACCCCCCACATCTTTGGTATTTACAAAGGTTCCTTCCACCTTACAACAAAATGTCTAATCCTGTAAGTTGTATCTTGTACCTGACACTTCTCTGCCTGAACTGCCTGCCTCTAATTCTTTTCCAGAACCCAGGAGAATCTAGATTCAGTCACCAACCCCCTAAGTGATCCCTGTATTTTATCACTGACCTACTTTTTTTCTGGATGTTGGTTTAGTCACTCGGTACACCCTAACACTGGAATGCTCTCTTTCCTTATCAGCCAGAATTATTAGAATATTTTTGGAGGGCTTGCAGCTCCACCTACTCTCAACCCCCGGTAGTTTTCACCAGACTGACAGTAGAGTGCTGCAGGGAGGAGGCTTACTTTCTTCAGTGCTGTAACTCAAATACCCTGCAGTGACTGATTCAAAGTGCAGCTCTTTGTGAGGAAGGAACTAAGTTACCAAATACCTGGACTTTGCCAGATGGAAGACCCGGACTCCATTCACTGTGATGTTACAACCTTTAATACAGAAGCAGTCAGTTGCACTACACTTTAATTACTTCTTGGGCAGCATCCAAGCTCTGGAAATGTTGGTGGGAAGTTTGCAGATGCTCTGTGCATCCCATGAGTATTAGGAAAGGAGATTTCTTTTATTCTCAAAACTTCATAGTTGGGATCTATACTGGGAGTCAGACTGACTTGGGTTATGATTTCAGCTCCACTGTGAAGGGCTGTGACTTGGATGAACACGATTCTCAGTTCTCACATCTGCAAACCGGGACAAATGACACCCATACACTAAGCACTGGTGTAATATTCAACTGTCATCAAGTAAATTAAATGACATGGTGGATGAACATCATTCCTTATTATCCTTGACAAAAATTTAGAAAATTATCTCAACTAGCAATACAGGTTTTCCTATACAAATGATAGAATACCAATAAATATAGCCCTTGACCTTGTAAAAGACCTGAAGTATTTTGCTTACGAGCAATTTAAGGTGGCCGAAGGGGGCCTGTAGGATATGGAACAGAAATTTGTTCAAGTGGGGCTCATCACTCAGGCTGGACCAAGCCCAGGACACTTAGGGTAGACATCTCTATGTTGTGTGTCTTCTCCCACATGTTGGCTCATCTGTTTATTCGTATCTTAGTATCCACAACCCTTCCAAGTAGCACTTAATTCATTTGGTATTCACATTGTTCCTTGGTGGGTCAATATTACTGAAATACATTTATGTAATTAAAAGCAAAGCATATATCCTAGTGGCTGTAAGAACCAGCAGGATTCTTGACAATTGGTAGGCACTTGGTAAATGGTACCTTGACACGTCCTTCTTTCTTTCTCTAAATGCTGATCTTTTTCAGGACTGATGCTAGGATATGCACACCATTGTGCTCCTAGTTCACTTAATCGATGAGTATTTTTGGATAGTGGGAACAAAGCAAAGCTGCAGTCTCTGGAGAAGAGGATGTTCAGACATGAGCTCAAACATAAGAGTTGATATCTGATACTTCATGGGGTGGGAGAAGCTCAGGATGCAGCTAAAATATTTTTGCATACTGTAGTAATAACCTAGACTGTAGCATATCTAGAGGCAAAGAGGCCATGTCTTCTCACAGTGAGATGTGAAGAGATCTGAGAAAGAACTGAGCTCTGGAAGAATTGTCTACAAACCATTGCTTTTTCCATTATGTCACAATTTTCCAATTCCTGTGACTATTTTGGCCAAATCAGCAAAGTACCACCACCTTAGAGCAGAAAATATCTGTCATTTTGCCAGTCATCCTATTCACTCCTCAAAGCCAGCAAACCAAAGAAGAGTGGTACTATTATTTTCAAAGAAGGAGAATGACATCATCAAAGGAAAAATGACTCTTGTGGCATAGATGAAGCTGTGACACAGAAAGGAAGAAGTAACTCAATACTATAGACTTTTTTCTCCCCACTCAGGGCAAAGCAAAGATGTCCTGGGATGCTTGCTCATCCTGGGATAGTAAGAGTAAAGATAAGGTGTAGAAAAATAACCAAATAATAAACATGGGTCTGCTCCTGCAGAAGGGCCTCTAACTCTGTTGGTGCATAACCTCACTCTGCCCTTTCCTTAATAGAATAAATATGGCCTACCCTGCAATGATCAATTTCCTAAACTGTGCTGACACAAGGGAAAATATCCTCAGTGAGAAAATTAAATGTGGGTGTCATGGGGCTAGTAGGAAACAAATGACATTGTCTATCTCTCCTCCTTCCTCTGGTTGGATCATTTCTCCTTAGGCTGGCATGAAGCTCTGTATACGGTTGATGTCCCAGCTGAGAGTAGAAATGTCTGGGCTGTGGAATTGTGTCATAGTTATTCATTCATTCACTCCAATCAACTTTTATTTGCATTGACATGGAATTTTATCTAGATCTGTACCTCCAATTTGTGATCTCCAGTCTGGGTCTTCTTGGGACATGCACATTCTACTAATTCTCTATGAGCTCCAGATTCTGCTGGGCCTGTGTCTTCATATGTTAAATGGAGTTCATTTTGTCATCAGAGTCAACAAGTTAAGCTACATCTTTAATAGCCTACTGCCAGAATGGCATCTGTCAACCCCCATGCCTAGAACACTGTGAATAGAGAAGGAGCTTGCTGTACTCATGAAAGTAATCCTCCTTGCCTCTCCTGGGAATGGCCAGGCCCTGTGGTCAACAATGTGAAGGTCATCAGGCTTAGTGTTATCCTCATGCAGTTCACTGTCTGGAAGTACCCAGGGGTCACCCTCCAAAGCATAGGTCTCTGAGAATTCCCACTTTTCATTAGTTGGGAGAGCTCATTCCAAATATCAAGCAATTTGCTGCTCCCATAGCCAAGTGAATGTAACATGGAAGTCCTGAGAAAAATACCATGACAGAAGTCTGTCATGAGTGAATAACAATTTAAATGGTCTTTGGATTTTAATCTAGTAAATAGAATGTGAAATAGTATTAGCAATAAAAAGTAGAATGGAACTCTAGTCATTAATATGGTGTGATGTGTGTGTGACTTCTGGAGACAAAGCATGGTGCATAGGAAGGTTCCATGGCTCAGCGGTCACATGAAGCTTCCTATCCCATGACTCACGACTGGACAATTATAACACAAAAAAAGGTACAGAAGAACACTTTACTTCTTCACCTTGTGAAGACAATCCAGGATGACAGATGTGTTTTTGGTGAAACAGAAAGGGATAGTTTGTTCAGTACCGTGAATTGGTACTCTAGGAGAAGAGGGGAATTCATGTCCTTAGCTGCATACAGAGCACTGGCAAGGGACTTAGGGAGAGAGGGAGAATGGGGCCAGTCTCATATGCAGGGAAGATCCAAATGCAAAGACTAATGCAATTTGGCAAGATCACAAAAATTTAACAAGAGTTCTCCATAGCGAATGCAGAATGCACTGCTCTGATCTGGGACAAAATTCAAAACTGAGAACACATTTACATTAGACTTCTTAATCTTTGCTTTTGCCTTTATACCAAATTTATACATCTGGCAATTATTAATTTCTAAAAGTCTGTTAAAGTCCAAATCAAGCCTTTTGGGGTCAGGGGAATGAAAATCATGTGGAAACTTTCACTCTGCTGATGCTCAAAATTTTATGAGAGGCAGAAGAAAGTGCCTGACATAGGTTCTGAAGGTAGAGTCAAGAGATCAAGTGAAGCTTATGGAATACATCAAAGATCACTAAAAACTGTTTGACCCAGGGGATGGGGACTTGACTGTAAATCCCAATTCAAGCTAAATCTATGTAGTAAGCACAGAGTGGGTCCCCTACTTAGAAACAGATCTAACACACAGTTGCTCTACTCTAAATTAGCCATTCATGTAATTTCATGTGCCAAAAGTAGGATATCTATTCTTTGCCACTATTATGTGAGTTCACACCTTATCCCAAATTGTCAGTAGGCACTTGGAAGACTAGGTCTAATAATCAGAGAAGGAGGTACTGTAGGGTTTTTAAGTACATCTGTGAATTTATAAATCAGTGTATCGACTTTGCTGAGACTACCTATTCTCCTTATTACTCCAGTGACTGTGAAGGTGAATTTGTCTGGAGCACATGCTTCCCACATCATCCATCCCAGTCCAGGTATGAGCTTAAAGTTTTAGTTTAAATGATATTAGGTTAGGACCATGAGTACAGTTTGATTTCTGGGGCAGCACTCTGAAAACACAGACCACCTAAGATTTTGAGCGTGTCTATAATGATAAATGTGCTTGGGATTCAAAATTGTGTACCAAATATTAAGTGGTCTAGGTGCAGAAATGGCCAAAGAGAATACAATCCACTCAGGAACTGGGATGTTGGAAATTATAACATGATATGGGAAGTCCCTCAATAAAGTGAAGACGAGTTTCTTAGAGAGCCTATGTGACCATTCTGGGAGAAAGAAATGGCTGGGTCATTTGTGAAGAAAGAAATATTTGAATGTTATTTTATAGAAATAAAAGGCACTATAGCATCTAACATAGATAAAAAGTTCAGTGTGCATAGAAGTGGGGTGATCCAAGCAAAAGTATACATGCCTACCCTAGTGATCAGACTTGTCAGCAAGAATCTTTAACTGCTAAGCCTGTTTTCATGACAAGACAACCTTAAGGAGGAAGAATTTCCTTTGCTCATGGTGGTGGGGCTGGGAGAGTGACGGTGGAGCGAAGCATCTCACACCGATCTTGGCAGGGAAAAGAGAGTGGCCCTGCTCACTAGATTTCTTGTTGCCTCAGGTCCTCTGTCCCTCCAGCTAACAGGATTGTGTCTCTCAGGTTCTGAGTGTACTTCCAACATTAGCAATCCTCTCCGGATAATACTTCACAGACACACCCAGGGGGTGGGCTTTCCCAGTACGCTAGGCATGTCTCAATCTAATCAAGTGGACAATCAAGATTAACCATTACAGCTTATTGGATGAAGGAGGGGAGGGGAATGGCGAGCCATAATCAATACACGGTGGCTGAATAGTGTTGCGTGAGACATCAAGCAATATAATGATGCCTCCTAGTACCCTGTGTTGTACTGGGAAGATAAGGTGTGGGAGAAAACATTCTGTAGAGATGATACAAAACACAAACAGCAGCAGCTACACACACAAGGCATTGTGATGTGCTAGGACTGTTCCAGGAGTCATGGGAGTTGTGTCATTTTACAATGACAGTATAGCTCCTGCAATGATGCAACCTCTTAATCTTCCAAATTTAGGAGCATGATTCTTTGAATGAGAAAGACATGGTGGCTACAGTTAGTTAAGGATCCTATTAGGAAATGCAATAGCCAAAGTCCTGGTGTGCTTGAGAGAAATGGGGGAAGAGAGAAAGGGAGGGAGGGAAGGAGGGGAGAGGGAGGGAAGGAAGTGACAAGCAGGAAGATCAGATTCAGAGAAAGAAGAAATGAGGCAGGACAGTTTACAGATACAAGTCAATGGAGGTCCAGGCAGCTTCTAGAAACTGGGAAAGGTGTGCAACTAGCATCTTCCTTGGAGTCCACTTTATACTTCATGCATTTAACATGCCAATTTAAGATACTACACTTACAGTGATTTTAGGTACTTAATTCCTGGAGATGATAGTACACTAGCAAATGGAAGCCAATACATGTTAAAACAATGTTCTTTGTCTCCTGGCACTAGTGAGATGGCTTGGCTTAACAGTTAAAGATTCTTGCTGACAAGTTTGAGGACCTGAGTTCTATCCCTGGGACCTACATTGTGAAAGAGAAAATAAATTCCTATAGGTTGTTCTCTGACCCCCATGTGTGCTGTGATTGATATATATATATACATATATATATATAGTATTAGAAATCATCATAAAATAAAGGAAATGAATTTCACCTGAAAGATAAACAGAGAAGATAGAGAGCATTCAGGATGGTATGGCCTTAGATGCCTTCCTTTAATTCTAGCACAGAGGCAGAAGCAGGCAGATCTCTATGACATCCAGGCTAATCAGGGTTGTGTCAATAACAAAGAAAAATAGCAGCGTATGTATGTATGTGTATACATGTGCACACACATGTGTATATGTATGTATATATGTGACATAAAATTAAAAGTAGACTATATGAAATGACTATAGGATCAAAGCATGAGAGGAGGATCATGGGGGAGGGGAAAGAAAGGCAAATAGTGCCTGTTGTGAAATATTTAACGAAGCAAAGATGTGTTACATTCATTTATACTGTGGAATATTACTTTAACTATCTAAAGGTATGGCGCATTTGTTTATGCTGCATTTGTTTGATGATATTAGGATGTGTGTTTAATTATGTAAAGATGTATTTCATTTCTTTCACCTTGCCTGCTTAAGGCACCTGATTGATCTAATAAAGAATTGAATGACCAATAGCTAGGCAGAGCTGGTAGGCAGAGAGAATAAATCGAAGGAGAAATCTAGGTTTGGGGAAGAAAGAGTGGCATGGAAGCCAAGTACCCACCAGCCAGCCTAATATAGAAACAGCAGGAAAATAAGATATACAGAAAGAAAGAAGGTAAAAAGCCCTGAGACAAAAGGTAGATAAAGAGAAACAGTTTAATTTAAGTTACAAAGAGCTAGGAAATGAGCCAAAGCAAGGCCCAGCATTCATAACGGCTAAGAAATCTCTGTGTCATGATTTGGAAGCTGACTTGTGCCCCTCTCCTTCCTAAAAGAAATCCTGGTACAAATGCCCATTTTTCCCTATATACATGATCCAAATTTACCTATCTGCATCTCTGTCTCTGCCCTTAACTCTTTACAAACACACATACAGACAAACACAGACACACACAGCTACACACACACACACACACACACACACACACACACACACACACACCCCTAGACACACAGAAGATGAACTATCGGAGATGAAGGCCAGTGGGAGGGGAAGTAGGTCAAGACAGGATAATGAGAAGAAATTTGTACAAATAATAATGATACATATTTATGAGGCCACATTGAAATCCATTATTTTATATGATAATAAAAGTCTCATAATAAAATAGCAAACAATGAAAATGAATGAGCCCCAGAGGTGTTTATTTACTAGAGATGACAATGTTAAAAATGGCAGAGCTAGTGTCATAAACAAATTGTGGTGACTCACTCACTGTCAAAGCCAAGTCTGTATAGACTCCCAATTCTTTAGCTGCATTAAAGGTGGATTTTCATCACTGCCTTCCACTCCCAGTTCTTATCCTCTCCCTTGGTGTTATAACTGTCCCAACAAAAATGTGTCAGTCTTCAGAAAGTATATGAAAAAAGAGCAATTAACCTATCTTGCCACCCCACATTGAAAAAAAAACCTAAAGAAGAAGGAGAAAAAATCATAGGTCATTAATGTCTCAGTCTCAAAAAGATTAGAGGATCTGAGTTTAAAAATTAGAGTGTGTGATAAAAAGCATATTTGTCATAAATATTTAACCTCCCCCAGCATGGTGGTGATTAGATTGCTGAACTAGCCACCTGCTGGCCTCCCTTCTCCTGCCTTTTCAGCATTTTATTCCATCTATGAGAAATGGAATATTAGAGAAAGTCTAAGAAAATGAAATACTGCATAACATACCAACATTTTATTTGAAAGAACTCTAAAATGATACTTTTTAATTGTTGAGCTCATCCTAACTCTGCCATCTATTTAAAGGGCACAATGGACCTGAGAACTATGAATTATCACGTGGAGATGGTTATCTCTTGTCACATTCAGCGTTCATTCACTGTACCCCTTGGGGTCAGGGAGCAGCAGGCACAGTCCTGGTCCATCCACACCTCCTTGAGTGCCTACATTGGTAATACTCCTTAGCATATATATCAGCACTAGGCTTGGCTATATAGCTTGCTTTGCTTGAAAGTACCTATGAAACTCAAAGCAGGACCCAAACAATGTTTCCAAACTTGCATGTAGTCTCTTGCTTTTCTCAGAATGCTGATTATGACAAGCTTTGACAAGCTAACTAGATTGTAAATGGCACGTAGTTTATTTGCCCCATGTCTCTGTCAGGAGTGAGTTAACTGCTGCGTGTGAAATGTGCCCATGTGATGCTCGTCAGCTGACCCATCAGGAGTAGTGACATCTGAGTGAGACTAGTCCAAACTGGAAGAATCATCTGGCTGAATGCAGAACAAAATTACTGATCAGCATAATCAAGACCTAAAATAATGATAAACATTATCATCACCACCACCATGGCATTAGGTTGGCTTGTCATGCAACAAAGCATGATTGATATTCTTCCCTATTGCATTCATAAAAGCTCTGCTCTTGTGTCATCGTTATTAAAATTAACTATAAAGTCATACAATAAAAAGCAAAGGAACCCACAGTCATTCATTATAAACACTGGGTTTGGCAGAACTAATCTCACTACTAGGAATAATGTAGTTGCAGGGCACTTACTGCCACTCACATGCTATATCATACCTAAACCTTAGCCTCATTTGCGTAGTCAGAATTATTGGCAAGATAGGCAATGTATGCAGCTCCATCACGTTAACTCATGGTCACTCAATTTTAACACTGTCCTTCCACATTTCACATCCATATTTAAGCTGAAGTGTTTCTTAAGATGCTTTTCTTTGGTGAAGCACAACAGAAACCCTCGATTTTAATGAGCTCATGAATGTAAAAGTATGAATGTTGTTCAGATGTGTAGAACCTAATATGCAGTGCAATCATGTATTGGCCACCACTGGAGCCTAAGTGTGTGTTCATTTAACCCATACTGTCTCCATTTCTAGACTTCCATATCACATATATGCAGCACACACACCCATTCTCTCTCTCTCTCTCTCTCTCTCTCTCTCTCTCTCTCTCTCTCTCTCTCTCTCTCTCTCTCTTTCTCTCTCTCTCTCTCTGCATTTCACCTCTTCAGTGTTCAGTGTAAGACATCAGGCAGACCTAGCTGCCATGTTTACACAGATTTCCCATTCTGTGGAGATAAGTTACATTGTCCCAACTTAACTGAGAAGCTCACTTCTTTGCTGACTACTTTTGTCTCAAGCATGAAATCAATAGTGTGATTTTCTAAAATCCCTCACCAATAATGCTACAGATATAATTAGCAAAGGAAGGGACAGGTCTCAAAGATATAAAGATCCAGAAAGTGTGATTAATGACAGGATAACAAAGCATTAGATATATATTATAGTGTCTCTCTTGGTTCTCAGCCTCAAATTCTTGTCATACAAACAATTTCAAAACTTTGTCATTCTAACAGGCTAAATCTTTCCACCATAGATCTCAGCAGCAGCTCTTGGGGGTTTGCCTTTTTTCTTATTCATATTAACAAGGCCAGGCAGTGGTGGCGCACGCCTTTAAACCCAGCACTTGGGAGGCAGAGGCAGGCGGATCTCTGTGAGTTCGAGGCTGGGCTGGACCGACAGCCTCCAAAACAATAGAGAGAAACCCTGTCTCATAAAATCCAAAAAAAAAGATTAATGACTATTTATCTTAGCATCTTATATTTATAAGAACACTAGAGTCAATTTTTGTTTTTCTGGCTCAGGGTCTGGCTCATGGAAAGAAACCAACAAATGCTTGTGGGTGATTAAATAAACACAGGCAATGTTAAGGCTTAGAATCAGGAAATAAATTTATGGGCTAACATGTTCTGTCTGAATTGATTGTGTTCTTTGCAATTGTGAAGTGAGGAAAAAAATATAATGTTAGGAGATGTCTCCAAGTTCTACACAACTGGTATGTAGACTCAATCTATCCAGATTTTTACTTAGGAATCTACTGTAACTATTGTGCTCTTTTTATCTTGGTCAACTTTCCAACATGCAACCATGGAGGAAAATCAGAATGATAAACAGCTTTGCCAAGGAAAAAGGTGATAGAGCATATGCAGGTCACTGTTCTAGAGAACTAATCACGTAATTTTTGAGAAAAATAGTAAGGCTAAGGATGGAATGATTGACACTTATGGAGCTGATTTTTCGTGATCAAAATTGAGACACATAGTCAACCATGAGTCTACTTACCTACTGGATATCTTTTGTGTGTAAGTTTTCGGAGCCTAATAGTTTAAGCATCGTTTTTTATAATGTCATTATTTTTCAATAAAGAATGTTCCCCTGATGTAGGTTACACCAAAACTGAGTCATCCCAAGGAATGAAGAGTTAGAAAGGAAGACTTGGCAAGAGGAATTAACATAGGGGGACTTTAGAAAGACACATAGTTTTATGCTTTCTTAACCCATCTGAATTCTCCTGGATATCCTTAGCCCAAGTTCCATTATCATGCCCATTGAATCCAAGATTGAGCTCAGAGCAGAAAAATTTGTTATAATAAATGCATGCATCTATTATTTAGTCCTCTTATTATATTCTACAGTATGTCATAATTAACTACATAAAATGTAATTACCTGATAAAACACCTTTAAACATTAATTCCAGTGTACATATTCATGATTAAAATATCAACAATAATGACTTCACTAACAAAATACTTGCAGATGCTATTGCACAGAATGAATATCTTGACATTGTTTCCTTTATTCATTACAATCTGAGCATCAAAGATTTAAGATGTTATTTGTAGTGAATTCATGGTAAATATGTTATGTCATATCTCAACTATTTAGAGAGTGTGCGTGCTTAGACAAGGTACTTAAGTGCTGACTTATTAAGATTTCCCATATATGATATGGATATAGGAGTAAGGCTATTGTGATAGCTAAAAGAGATAATGTAGTGTATGCTTTTTACATATTATGTTACTTATCATAGTGCCAATACATTTATTTAGTAAGGAAAATATTTTCCAAGAGCAAAATTCAACTTGAACAAACTTGAATAAAGAAATGATTTATTATAGCAATATGGGTTTACAGAAACTGAATGTAGAAGGAGACTTGAATGTGGAGAAAATGTACTTAAAGTTCATCATGGTGGTTTGAGTAAGAATGGACCACATAGGCTCATATATTTGAATGCTTGGCCATTACAGAGTGGTTCTTCTTGACAGGTATTAGGAGGTGTGGTCTTGTTAGAGGAAGTATGTCACTGGGGTAGGCTAAGAGATTTCAAGAGCCCAAGCCAGGCCCAGTATCTCTCTATTCCTGTTGCCTACTGATTCTGAGATAGAACTCTCAGCTACCTCTCCAGCACCATGTCTGCATTGCTTCCCACCAAATGAAAATTGCCTAAACCTCTGAAATGTAAGCCAGTTACAATTAAATGCTTTCCTTTATAAGAATTGCCATGGCTATGGTGTCACTTCACAACAACAGAATGGTGACTATGACAGACATATATGGTCATACAGTCTTCTTTTATTTTTTTTTAGTTTTTACAAGGCAGGATTTCTCTGTATTGTTTTAGAGGCTGTTGGTCCAGCCCGGCCTCGAACTCACAAAGATCTGCCTGCCTCTGCCTCCCGAGTCCTGGGTTTAAAGGCGTGTGCCACCACCGCCCGGCTTTCATACAGTCTTCTGATGAAGTAAAACTACCTTTAAAAATGGTCCAGCTGGAGTAAAAAAAGAGATAGCTTAAGTTTCTTTAGTCTATGGACTGAACTAAGGGCTCATCCTTGTCCCAAGGAAATGTAGCCAGGAGTTAGAAAAGGATTTGTTCAATGAGAATAATCCAGATCAGCCATATTAGTTGAGTAGGCAGGAGAGGATCATTTAATCTGTAAACATGACAGAAGGAGGGGATACAACTCAGGAAAGAGGAGCACTATGTGAAAAAAAAATGAATAGTAGTTTTATACCACACATTGTGCCAATATTTTATAGAAGAATTGAAAAAAACTTTTAAGTCTATTTTACTTAACAATAGCACAATTAATTGAATTTTACTCCCTTCATCTGTTGTACTCTGTGTTCCCTCTGCAAACTTGCAGTTGAATAATGCATTTTCTCTGCCATTCATGTTTTTCTATTTGCATGTATTCTTCTGAATGTCACTAAACAGCAGTTTCACAAGCCATGCTCTGCAATGACGCCAGCTTGACTTCTAAGGCCTGCATAGTGCTGCCAACATTCATACTGGGCTTTCCCAGGTTTCTGGTGCCAAACATTTCCAAAGCTCAACACAGAGATTCCCTTTGGATATTCTTCTTAATCTACTCTTTTCTCACATGGTTCTTGAGGCACACCCTGGCAGAAATAGCATAATTGAAGATAGGTTTCCATTTTCTTAAGATTTCTGCCTAAATAATTCTAGAAAAATGAAAGGGAATTCCTTGAACTTGTAGGGCTATTTTGGGATTAATTATCCTGTGAAAAGGCAAACAAGTAGTTTATGTATGATTTTTCAAGTGTTTTGGTCCCTTCAAAGCTGAAATATTGATTGACAGTATAAACAAACTTAAGAGGTGATTCATAGCTGCTTACAATATCTGAGTAAATATTTTCATACAAATTTGCAGATATTGAACTGCAATATTCAAAGATGCTGAAGGATATAACTCTGCACAGTCAGTGAAGTGACAGATCCAGAATCTGAGGTATTGTTCATCTAACTGAAATTGTATGTCCACAAATATTGAGGGAGTGTTGGAAGCAGGAAAATAACAGAATCAACTAAGTTCTGGTGAAAATATTCTCCAGCCCCTGTAGCAAGCACAGCAGGAACGAAGATCTCTGTGTGAAATGAATAAGTCCCTAACATCCCCATAGCTCTACGATGATGAAATGATCCTGAAATGCACCCACGCCAGAAAAGCTACCATTGGACTGACATTTAAAGTAGAGGAAGTCAAAAATGAACAGGTAGGTAACCTTTGCGGGCCAAATTTTGATTTGTGGAGAGCATTTTAGAAAATACGTTGAGGACATTTATTATGCAAAAGTGTTCAGTAAAATGGGTATATTTTTTGGGGAAAGAAAGTTAGATTCTGCTATGAGAAGTAAATGCTAATGCTTAGATATCGCTATTGGAATGGTATGGTAGGTGGAAGGAATTGCAGAAACCATTTATTTCAACTCTATCATTGCATTTTCAATGAACCAGTCAGAAAGGTCAGGCCATAGAACAAGTCTATATAGAAATGGACCGTCATTCTTCTGAGAGGAACCTCAAATTCTAGTTGCCTTTATAGACATCTCAGCTTTTTTATCAGCTGATCAGAGTAGCCAGTATGATTTTATTATTTCATTTCTTATGACAACAAAATTCCATTCCCCAAATAACTATTCTCTTTAATTTGCTTATTTTCCCATGCTATTTAATAATAATGATGAATATATAATTTATTTACAAATAAATGTAGACAGTGATGAAAGTGATAATGATGATAGTGATGATGATGACAAGGATAAATCAGTGAGAGATTCTCATTGCTGTTATGCAGATGAATGTTTACTTTTGTGTCTTCTAAAGCCATAGATCCAAAGCATAGGTTAAGAATTTTTGCTTTGATTTTGGTGGCTACATTTCAAGTTCTGGCCAACTACTTAGCAGCTTTCTGAACTTGCATGGATATGATGGTGCTTTAGGGATAATTTCTTCATCTGTGATGCTATTCTGTGACTAGCATATAACTGCATGGGTGGTGGGGTTAAGTTGTGAAGCTCTAGTGAAATGAAGGGTCAAAGACTGTCAGGATTTCAGTTATTGTTGTCTATCACCTACTGTGAAATTCCATTCTTGGAATATATTATTATCTAAAATATATCTTAGTGTATTCACTTCTGATATCATAGGCAATTTAGTGTTCTACTTTGAGCTGTTCTTTTGTGAGAGGAAATTTTCATGATATAACACTTAGATTCAGATATCATTTTCAGCTAAAAATAAAAGGCTATGTGTAATCAACTCTCTTTGTTGACATTTAAGCTCTTTCAACATTTTTGCAATTACAAATAATTTTGTGATGAATGTTTATAACTAATTTCTTTTTAAGGACAGATTTCTGGAGTGAAAGTATTGAATTAAATATTATAGATATATATAAAGCATATGATACATATTGCTAGATTGCTTTCCCAAGAAGTTGTATCAATTTATACAAAATTACTAATGCATGAGATTTTTGTCAACTCTTAGTGTCCTTGAAAAAATTGCATAATACCTTTTAAAAATGTCTTTGAAAATTTGATATTAAGGAATGTGACTTCTTTGTGATGGTTTTAATTTTCCACAATTTTGATTACTGGCAATTATGATCATCTTCCCAATGTTTTAATAATAAATCCATTTCACTATGGAAGAGCTGGACTTTATTCATTTATGCATGGACAGTGAAGTTCTCTTCTTGGTGTAAGTGTACTGTCTGTCATTACTGATAATTTAATAGGTCCCATATTGCACACACATAAGAATTTCCAATATTAAACTTACATGACCCTTCAATATACACTAGATCTCCCTTCAATGTGTTTTAATCCACATTCAGTACAATCTGAACACCTTCTTTAGGGTTCCTTTATCTATCCTGGGATTACAAAGGATTTCTGTTTCTAGACCATTAATTCTCTGGATGTGGTTTTGAGAATCCCAAGCACAGGATGGTCAGACATTTTTCTGAAACTCTCAATATCAAGACAATATCTCTTGGTGAAAATCTGGAGCCTACAGTACAAAAAGGTTTTATAATTTTTATTTTTGCTCCATTTAAAGAGTTAAAGAGTTCAGTTACTTGAGTTTCTATCGAGTTTCTATATTCTACCAGCTGTAATATATGTTATGGTTAATAATAGTATTTTGTTTTTATTAAGTAATATATGACAATTTCCATTCTAGAAGAGTAGTTAAGGTATACACAAAAAGATATATATATATGCATTTTTATCTGTGAAACAAGAAATTATAATGATTTAGGGATTAAATCTCTGTCTGTTTTGGTTAGAACCATATCTATGGAAGTTTTTGTATATTTATGGCATTTCAGTATCTGACTAAATTACTTCTCCCAATTACACTACTGTTTAAAAACAATTCTTTGCTATTTTTACATTCTAATATTCTATGGTATAAATCTGGATTATTCTTCCCTAGTTAAGTAGACAATCTCATGATTTTGACACAAATTGCATTCAACTTAAAAGCTATCTGAAAAGAAATAATGGTCAGCAGAGCATTGGTGGCACATGCCTTTAATCCCAGCACTAGGGAGGCAGAGGCAGGTGAATCTCTGTGAGTTTGAGGCCAGTCTGGTCTACAGAGTAAGTGCCAGGATATGCTCCAAAGCACCAAAGCAATGCAAAGAAACCCTTTCTCGATAAACAAAAAAAAGAAGAAATAATAGTTTCCAGTTTTCTCATGTAGTGATATGATTTCTATTATGATTATTCAAGTGTTATTTTATATTTCTCAATATTATGTTGTGATTTTCACACAAACAGTCTAACACATTTCTTGTTGGAAATGCTTCTCAGTTTTTAGTCTTCAGCTGCAATTAAAGAGCTGTTTCTTGAATTAAATTTTTTCCTTCATTGGGTTATAAATGTAGAGTTTATTCAGTTTACTAAACTGTCATTGATTACAACAGTTCCTTGGGTAGTTACTTTGGTTGAGATCCACATGTACTGGTCACCATTTGCTGCACAACAAATTATCTCTAAACTAAGTGGATTTAGAGAACAATATCTGACAGTAGGTGTGGGTCAAGAATCAAATGCAGCTTGGCTGGCTCCTCTGTTCAGAACCTCAACAGCTATAATCAGGCTGTCATGCAGGAGAGCATGAGTCATCTTTAAGCTCAGCAGGCTGAACCTCTTCCAAGCTCAACCATGCGGCTTTGGGCTTGAGTCTCTTCATTATGTTCTGATGGACAGAAAACCTTGGCTTTTTCCTCACTAATGAGCACCAGCCATTCTTTGCTTCTTGCCACATGCAATGTCTATTGGAAGTTTGATTCACGCGAATGAGAAGAGAAAGAGTGCATGCATGGGATGGGAGACAGACAAGGAGACAAAAAGATCATGTGAAAATAAAATTGCATATAATCTGACTCTGAAATTTATATTTTATCACCCTTTTCATATTCTACTGATTAGAAGTGAGTCCCTGACAACTTAGTTGGTAAGATGCTTGCTACATAAATATGACAACTAAGTTCAAATCCTAGTAGTGACATAAATGCAGGTACAGAGATATGCATCTGTAGTCCAAACTGGGAGGTAGAGACAGGCAGATCCCTAGGACTCACTGGTGAGCTAGCATATTCAAATTCATGAGATCTGCATTTAGTGAGAGACATTGCTTCAAAAAACTAAAGTGAAGAAAAACTGAGGAAGATATTCAACATTGACTCAAAGCTGTCACACACATTTGTACTTGTACCTGTATGCATGTACACGCAAGTATGAAGACTGACACACATAGCCCACACATACACCATACACACAGAAGTGAGTCTCTGAGTTACATTTCCCCCACAACCAGAGGAAAGAAGTTATGCAGAGATAAGAACAAGAAAGGTGGGGATGTCCTGGTACCTATAGTGGAGCTGCTCATTGAGGCCTGGTTTTCATTCTTTGAATGAGTAATTGCAATCATGATGTTAATCCTAATTCATTTACTATAGGTAATCAAAACAAAGTTTACTGCAAATAAAGACCACTAACATTGGGTTTTCTGTGTATATGAAGTTCAGGGATGGTTTCCTAAAATTCTGGCTGCTGTATAGAAAGACCTGAGTTATGGCGATAATGTTCTCAAACCTTATCAGACCTACAGCATGATTGACCATTGAACAGCTTTGTCAGACCAGGGTACAATCCCATCATACAGTCTTACCTTCTCTTAAAACCTCAAACTTAGAAAATAGAGCTCAGAACATACTTTTGAAATTTTATATTTAAATTCCAGCGTATGCAAAGTGGAGAATGGCATTTTCTTTTCCAATCTCCAAAGCAGAATTGAATTCTACTTTATTAGTGAAAGAATTAAGTTGCTGTCTCTTTCATTTCTTTTGAAATTGGGAATCAAAAGTTCAAGGGGTCTCTACAGCTTTCAGAAGTTTTCAATCCAGGACTCTATAAGCACTACAGCAAATGATACTAATCGCTTAAGGGAGTTCTTGGAAACCAAGTGCTTTATTCCATCTTCAAGGGGAAAGAAAGAAGTCAATGATTCCTTCTTGCAACAATAGATACTTTCCCTTGCACCCAGTTGAAAGGATAAAATGAAAGAACTGTTAACTGAGAATTGACAAGTGCTTGCACTAGGCTGCCAAAGCAATGTGATAATGAACTCCAGGAGTTTTCAAAAATGTCTGCCCTGTTACCATATTCACTCTGTTGTGACACAGATTTCCTCAACCAAACTGCAGCTAAATTTTTCTTTTTCTTCCTTTCTTTATTTTTACTGTACAAATTAGAAGGTTGTGTTTAGGATTAACGAAAACAACTTGAATTTAGGAGCAAATAATATGTGATGGAGGGAACACAACAAAGTGTTGTGATTTGGATCTGGGTTTAAACCTGGTTGCACTGTTCCAAGTTCACTGTCTGAGCAACTTTGGAGACATGGGTTTATTTGTCTGTTCCCAAAACCAACAATTATAACCTCATGATCATGTATGTTCCCATTCAGTCACTAATCACATTTGTTGAAGAACTAATTATGTAACTGGAATCAATTTTTAACTGTAGACAGTATAATCCACAAAACATATTCCTCATGAAGATATATGTTATCAGATACATAAATAAATTCCATCATAATAGGAGATAAGCTATGCTCAGGAAAGTCTTTCCATAAGAATAAAGTAATGTTTATACTTCATAGATTAGAAGACTGAAGCTTGAAGAGGAGACTTTGTTAGCCTGAGTTAGCATAATTTGA